ATCTTAAATCTCTTGATTCAGGATATAAGGCAACCACTGTCTATGTGGGATTAGGAAGCATCATCCCGCTTCCACGTCTCCCCACTTCCCAAGGGCACGTTAGAAAATAATCCATAATGTGGGTTGTAAGCTTTTCTCTGTAGCCATTGTCGTACAGGACAGAGATTGGACTCTATGGTCATTGGCTTTGATCTGCCATGAAATTTTCTGTGTTACGAGTGCAAGTTAGCATATCCCCTTTCTCCCATTAAGGTAATATGAAGTAACGCTAATATTAACTTTGTTCTCTTCTAGGAAGACCATGTAAACCACTAGAACTACAAAATGGCAGGGTTGATTTAACTGATCTCCTGTTTGGTGCAACAGCAAACTTCTCCTGTAATGAAGGGTGAGTGGCAAGTTGTTTCTTTTGACTAATTAACAGAACTTTAGACTGGTGTAAAACTGCTGGTGAAGTCTGGCAAAATGAGAGTAGAAAGCCTGCTTAACTTCAAGAACATAAGTGAGTGGTGTGCTATTAATCTGTAGCCATGGGCTGGGCCCTTGTTAAGAATTACACCTGCGATTTTCAAAGGAGTTGAAGGAGGTGGGAGATGGGCACCAAACTAGCTCAGTGGGAGATGGGAATCTAAAATCCCAGCCTAGAGTCTTCAGGAGATCATCTAGCAGGGGTTGGGTTATGAGATTGAGTCCCACCTCAGGGGTCATGTGGCACTTACTGACTTGTGCCATCTCTCCCTTGTTACACGGGTTTCTGTCTCGGTGCTGGGAGCTAATGGCAGAACATTGCCCATAAAATGCTGCACCAGGTAGAAGCAGACCTCTTCCTGCTCTAACATAGCAAATATTTGTTTGTCCCTCCCTTATAGATGTCAGTATTACCCAGGATAGCCTCAAGTGCAGTTGTTGCTTTTGTTCATATGGGTTATGTGGCCAAGCCTTGGGGAATACAAAATAACTTGTGGCTTCATTGCACTGAGCAGGTGTGTTTGGGATTTTTGAGGTCTCAAAGTTAAAGGCCAGAAGAGACCACCAGATCATCCAGTCTGACGTCTTGTATATCACAGGGCACCAACGCTTCCCAGGGACCCACATCCTAAACTCAACCAAAATTAGTCTAAAATACTACAGTGCTCAGGTGCTTAAACAATTATGTGCCATGGGCAGAGACTAGGAGGGCCTGAGGTGCACAAATTCCTTGGGCCCCTGTCGTGGCAGGGAAATGTTGAAGTGAGATAGATTGAGATACTCCTGGCAAGTGACCTGCACTCACATTCTACAGAGGCGACAAAAAAAAAACGAAAAAACCCCAGTGTCACTGCCAATCTGACCTGGGGGGAAATTTCTTAATAACCCCACATACTAGAGCCTGAGCATGTGAGTAAGAACCAGCAAGCCGCCAAGCACTGAGGTGAGAGTCCTTGATGCCACCTCCGAGTCCTGGCCTTTCCCATCCAGTGCCCCATCTTCAGCCATGGCAATCCCTGATGGTTCAAAGGAAGGAGATAAAAGAAACCAACTCAGAATACATTGGGTGGGGAATCCCTTCCTCTCTGCTGCAGGGAATTGGCTGAAATCCTGAAGCATGAGCAGTTAGGAACATAACACACACACACTGGAAACACACCCCAGGGTTGCTGAGCCCTGCCATCACAAGCAACCCCATCATATAATTGCACCCATAAACTTGCCTGGCTCTCTCTCAAACTACATTAGTTGAGTGACTGCTCCTGAGCCTCACCTTTTCGATGGTTAGAAACCTTCTAATTTCCAGCCTGAAGTTGTTCGTTGCCAGTTTTTACCCTTTGTTCTTGTGGCAGCATTGTACTTGGTTTAAATAGCTCTTCACCCTCCCTGCTAGTTGAATGGATTGTGTTGCATGGGCACACAAATGACATGAATGCAGGTGTTTTTGTGTAGGGTTTTGTTTTTCTGTGTCACAACTTTAGGTGGCTTGTCCAAGCAGCAGAGATTGGACTTCCAAGGCATGTTTGGGGTGAGGGGAGATGTCAAGGCCCAGTCTCAATTAGATGTATCTGGGCGTGGGGAGGTAACTCCCTGGGGCAAGGCTGGCTGTCTGGCTCCACAGAGGTGGGAGTTAAATCCCTTGGCTTATCCTGTAGATTGGTCACTATCCTGCCTTCTGGATGAAGTAGGTTTGATCCTCAGAAATTTCTGACCTCTTATCAAAGGACTTGGTGATTTTCTGTGCAGTAGCCCATAGGGGTCTCAGGCTTTGGAATTGTGGAGGCCACTGGTTAGATGTTGGACAGTTCAGATGCTTGAATTTTGAATATGGAACAAGGAGATGGCAAGTGGGTGACAGCTCAGGGCAGCTATCTTGTCTCCCATTGCTGCTGTTGGCAGGTTGTCTTAATTTGTAAAATAAAATTACACCGAATCAGCTGCTTGGCTGCCATCTGTTCTCTCTCACTGTTCCCTTCCTTCACAGGAGATTGATCTCTGCAAGTTCTTTCACTTCATTCTAATCTAATGCTTAGTGTGTTCTATAGTGAAGACCAAGTGTAGCTTTGCCAGTATGTTGCAACTTTGTGTGCTGGGTTTAGCTGGACCTTCTGCTAAATGGACTTGGAGATGCAGTGCTTCTGGCTGCCCAGCAGGGGCAGCATTGGTTAAAATAGGAGAAAACGTAACAAGAGCTGCTTGAGCTGAGCCAGCCTGACACAACAGGGCAGAGAAGAGGTTTTTAGTTCTTATGCAGAGAAAAGCAGAGTAACGCTAAGGTGCAAAATGTCAGCGGCTCCAACACGTCCTCCTACATGTTAGAAACATAGACAATTTCCTACTCAGCAAGTCCAAACCCTTTTTTCCATGTCAAAGCACTGCGAGCAGTGATCTGTAAATTAACTAGTTTTCTGGGTATTTGAAGAGTTCTGTAGCAGAGGTGGTAGGGCCTTCTGTCACCTACTGGAGATGGGAGTGCAAAAATCTCTAATTTAGAAGAGGGGTAATTTGTTCCCCTTTGCCGAGGATTAACAAATATTCCCAAGCATCTGATGAGCATAGCCCAGAAGTGAGGAGACTCTCCTGCTAACGCTTTTGGGAGCTATATTCTTTGTTTTGTAGCTCTTTATTGCCGTTAACTACACAGGGCCTGGTCTTCATGTACAGCGTCTCTCCTGTCAGCATAGTTAATCCATCTCTCCAAGAGGCAGTAGCTATGTTGGTGGGAGTTCTCCTGTTGACATGGCGCTGTCTATATGGGGGGATGAGGCCAGTATAAATGTCACTCAAGGGTATGAATTTTTCACACCCCTGAGCAAGGTAGCTGTACCCATATAGATGTGCAGTGTAGACATGGCCTTAGGGTATGTCTACACTTGCAGAGTTTTTGCAATGTCCGTTTCACTGGTGATAGGGAACCGGTGAAAGAAAAGCACTGGTTTGTGTACTCAGTTCCTCGGGCATCAGAGAGTGTTTATACTAGCAGCCAGGGCCAGCTCCAGGCATCCGCCTGGCAAGCAGGTGCTTGGGGCGGCCACGCCGGAGAGGGGCGGCATGTCCAGCTTTTCGGCGGCAATTCGGCGGACGGTCCCTCACTCCCACTCGGTGCGAAGGATCTTCCGCCGCATTGCCACAGCAGATCGCGATCGCGGCTTCTTTTTTTTTTTGGCTGCTTGGGGCGGCCAAAGCCCTGGAGCTGGCCCTGCTAGCAGCACTTCATCAACAATGAGAGCAGCGTAGGGCAGCTATCCCACAGTGCAGGTCTCTCGATAGGTCTTGTGGGATGGGGGCGTGAGCAGAAAGCATTCTGGGTCCCTGCTCAGTTCCCCATGCTGCCCTGCTTCATGTCCCAGCAGCCCCATTAGTTCCTTGTTCCTTTCATGGCATTTTTTTTAACCACTCCACCCCTACCCCCCCCCCCCAGGCTGTCTGGCTGCTTTCCCGCCACATCTACAAGCAAAGGGAAAGGGAGTTTCAAACTTCCTGGGGCTTATAGAGGGAGGGGGCTAACGTCCGTCAGAGCAGTGGAGATGCTGGCCACTGTGGGATATCCTCCAGAGGCCAAAAGGTGTCTACACAGGTAGAACACACCTTCACTTTCATAACAGTGCCAGAAGAACAGCGGAAAGAATTATCTGTCTCTCGTAAAGGTGGTTTTCTTTTTGTGGTGAAACTTCTAAGTTTCACCACCAAAAAGGGACATTTTGCCCTTTAAATGGCAAGTGTAGACATAGCCCTAGTGTTCCTTGGTCCTATGGTGTTAGATGTGTCCCTTTTTCAATGGTTTGTCTCCATCTACTGGCAGAAAGAAACCACGTTCCATCTTTCTGGATGGTTAACTAGTTTTTTGCTTACATGAGTAACAAACTTGAACCCTTTTTCTTTCTTTAGGTACAGATTAACTGGAACGACTTCTGCCCAATGTGTGGTTGTGGGAAATGGAGTTGATTGGGATAAGGAGCTTCCACTTTGCCAAGGTAAACTAATCTTATGGTTTTTAAGAACGGTTCACGTCTGGAGATGATGCAGCATAGCTGGTGCTTCAGAGGAGTCTCTGTTCTTACTTTGGCATTTAATCCAAATGACAGTTGAGTTGGGGGGAGGAATGAAATCATACTGTGGTTCACCATGGTGTTTGGATGACTCCTACAGAATCTATATATAATATTAAGTTCCTTTTAGATTGTGCACCTGGCACTGTTTCATATGCAGAGCCCAACAGGCCTCAGGGCTCCTCTTCGCTATTGTATCTGTGTAATCCTGCTGTTCACTAAAGCCTTGTCTATGCTTGCAAGTTAGAGCGCATTAAATCAGCCTCGGGCACCCTCACTCCTGAAGTGTCCACACTGGCAAGGCACTTATAGCGCCTGGACTCCGCAACTGGAGCCCCCCGGTAATCCACCTCCACGAGAAGCATAGAGCTTGCTGCACCCTGGCTGAAACGCCAGCGTGTCAGTGTGGAGGACATGTTGCATTACTGCGCTGTGATTGGCCTCCGGAAACATCCCATAATCCCTTGAAGTCAAGTGGTCACTCAGTTCATTGTTTTGAACTCAGCTGTAGGCATGTGGATATCTCCTTTCAAAGCTCCATTTCTGACAGCCAGCATGCTTATCTGCTCCGGGACACACAACAAACCATTACTGTGGAATGTTCCTGCTGCGGAGGCAGAGGTGTGTGTGTGTGTGTGTGTGTGTGTGTGTGTGTGTGTGTGTGTGTGAGAGAGAGGGGCAGGGGGTGGGGGCTGATGTCGGGGTTTTCCTCCTTGCCGCTGTCCGAACTTCCAAGACAGCATGCTGACACACTCTCTGTCCCCCAAAACAGTCTCTCCCTCCACATACACACAACACACTCCCCTCTCCCCCACACTTGAAAAGCATGCTGCATCCACTTTCACACTGGGATAGCTACCACAATGCACTG